CTTTCCCTATTCCTTCTGGGCCAAATAGTAATGAAGAAGTTTGAATCAAATAGAGCTCAGTGGTCTGAACTTTAAGAAAAGGAACTAGAGCAAGATATGCAAATCATTCTAGGATTGCCACTACATGGAGAGTGGAGAGAAAGAAATATCATATAAATAGGTTTTATAACTTTTCCATAAAGCATAATATGATGATTTTAAAATTTATTATCTCATGACTCACCTGATCATCACCAGTTTGTGTGAATAACTGCAGGAGTTCCACAAAAATGGGTGCATCTAAATGAGACATTACTGTGGAGATGACTAATTCGCTCCAGAGTAAACCTCTTGGAGTCTACATGTGTGCCCCTATTAGGTTGTACAAAACTAATAAACTGTCCAGCAGGGTACTACTTGTAAATACAAGTGCTTACAATACAAGCACAGTAGCGTACTTGTAGATGCTACCTGGTTGACTGGGGCATGAAGGTGCTTCAGTGCAGGGGCTGTCTGCTGGCTAGCCCCACACTGAAGCACCACCGTGCCCCAGCCAGTCCCTCCGCAGCACACTGAGCCCAGTTGGAGCAGCCTTGGGACAGGCAGGCTGACCCCCGGGGCCCCACTGCCAGCGGGGGCTGCTCTACCCAGCTCCAAGTTCAAATAGTGCACCCGGGAGCAAAAAACTCCAGAGCAATAAGCTCCACAGTTTATTCGTGTGCACTAATTGCACATATACATGCACCCAGTGAGGCCCAAAATCTATATGCTGTGGTGCATGTGGCTCCAGCTCCTGAAAGCACAGTAAGAGAAGCAGTGATTTTTTGTCTTTCATTGCATTGCTCTGTGCACAGTGTCTATGCTGTACTCTAGAATAAGAGTCCTGACTGATTATTCTTTGTTATTAGCTCTGTTTATACATATCCGGCCATTCTGGTAGCACAACAGTTTGTTACTACTGGAGGCAGTAATGATGATCTTGCCTTTTAGGAGCAAGAGCATTTTAATTTTTTGCCACTGGGAGTCAGGATTTCCTAATGCAAGCAGGTTCACATTGTATAATGCTGGGAGCCAGTACAGGCTTTTATCTACAGTGGGAAATTTTATTCTCTAGTCTCAGAAGCCTTACATGTCCTAGGAGGAGTCTTTGGGTTTGCAAATGTTTCAAGTAAATGTTTTTACTAAGACAAAGTTAACGCAAGATTTTGCCCTTGGTGTGGATGGCCAGTGAATATGTTTAAGCATAATTTCTCTTGCTCACACTCAGAGTAAATTCCTTTTCAGTATCATGTCACTTAAACAGCTTTTTTGCTAGTGTAATGCATTTTTAAGATCATAATCTACAAGTAGAGTGGTTTAACTCTCCCTTACAATAAAGATACCTACTGTCACTCCGTATTTCTATTTCGTTTATTATACAAAAGCAAGGGATGTCTACTCTTCCCTAATGACTATTAGTTATTAGAATGATGTAAAATGCCCATTCATTCTTTGTTGAAATTTGGTGTGCTAGATCTTAACTATGCAAATCACTATCATTTACATTTTTCACGAAGCTGCAGTAAGCAATATTAATGAAGTGTATTAGAAAGAGAGAACTCAGCAAAATGGAAACTTTATGATTACGTTGACGATTGTAATACCAGCATGGATCTGAATGCTTTAAAAAAACTCACTTCCTAAGTGATCCCCAAATTGCAACTCAGAATGAGTGGCTATGGAAACAGCGACCATGTCTCCGTTGCCTTCCAAATGGATTGGAAACAGCTTGAGTCAAGCTTATTGTGAACAAAGGGAAATTTGCCAGTACGTAGACAATTAGAGTTCTCTTCCTGAGTACTTCAAATGCAGGCCTTAAAATGAGCTTTCGAAACCCCAGAATGTCTAAGTGTTTGCATGTCTCTTAGGAGCACCGGACAATTATGTAAGAGGGTCTCAGAAAGCTTGGAACTGTGAGAATGGTCTTTGTGCTGAAAATGCAAATGGTCATGTCCAATATATTTAATGGACAATTTGCCCCTCATACTCTTGATGTAGCGAATTTTTAAACAAAGGTCCTTATTTCTTAACATTCTTTTCATTGTTTCAGGGAAGCTCAATGGGACAAACTGTTTCCAGCAAATAGGTTTAAGGGGAAAGCATTGCAGGGAGTCAGCTACAGAAATGAATGGCTCTTCAGTGTGTGGGCTCTGTCAGTTAGTTTCTTGTTCTAAGCAAACTTAGTATTTTCAGATTAAGTTGGCCTTATCTTTGTGCACTTTAATTTAACTCTGCCTCTGTTTTCATGGGCAGCTTTTTAGCATCAACTGAACTCTGCCTTCTCCCCACACACTCAAGCCCTAGTGCAGCTTCTACTTGCTAAAAACATACTGTGCAAGTTGGCATATATTTGCCCCTCAGGCTCTGAATAAGGCTGTGACTGATGACGAGAAAGGAAGCCCAAGAAAACAGGTCTATCTCTTTGTTCTACATGCAGTAATACTGCTCTGATTACACAGAGACTGTTGTTTTAAATAATGTTCACATCTATAAATCTACATTTGTGTCTGCATATCTGTGAGTACCTACAGTTTTGACTGCAGTCCTGCTTATTTTTTTTTGTTTGCTTGCTTCAATTTACTTTAAAAAAATCACCCATCCAAGCTGTGGTTATATGTGATCTATATTATGAATAAGGTCCAAATCCTTTCAAACTTTCCCAAAGGACCTTATTGCCATCCAGTATAACCCACTTAATCCACCTCCCAGGGTAAAAAAAAAAAAGCAAAGGAAAAGAAACTCAAAGGAGAAACCGAGGAAATTTTGTTTTGTAAAGTGATTTGGTGACCAATAAATCCATGCTGTGCTAAACTCATGGGGAAGTCAGTTCTATAGCAGAACACTTCCCTGGGACTGGTCTGTGGAACCCATGCCCTTCTGGAGGTTCCTTGAAGCTTTCAGAAAATGTCCAAGGGGATGTCTTTTTGACTAAGTTTTTGTTTTGATTGTTGTTCAGTATGTTTTTTCTTATGATGAGTCTGGATCATAAAGGAAGGGGGAATGTTTGTGCAGTTTTGAGCAATTTAATTAATGTCTTGTGTCTTGAGCTTAGATATGGCTTTGATGGGGGAAGTAATTACATATTATAGAATCTGTTTTTACTTCAGCTTCTGGCAACTGCTAATATGATTGAGTGATTGGGATCGGAAG